GTTATCAACCCCCACGTTCTTACAAACCGGCGGTGATACTCTCATCACCAACAGTTCGTATTACGAACCGTTGGTGATAGCTATTATCAACGGTTTTAATGATACCAACGGTGATAAAGGTATTGGTGATAGGTCAATTTATAGTAGTGTGTAATGATACTTTGTTTTTAGCATCATAAATATATATTTTTTATAAATTTGGTCATGCTTAGAATGTCACAAATACTTGAGTTGGGTATAGTGATAATGTCACATACTCACATATTAACAAATGGGCAGACTAGCATCCGGACGTCCGGCCCTAGGCCTACGTCCCGCGCCTGCTCAATGCTGCACACCCCACTCGCTCTGGTTCTGCGCCACTCGAACGACTTGTGCCCCACCCACATCGCCCGCCCCCATGCAGGCCCATGCCGCCTGCTACTCCCCGTGCTCCGCCCTTGCTCCGTGCCGCGCCCCCCGCTTGGTCGGGTTCACGCCACTCAAACGACTCACGCCCCACCCACGCCTCCTGCCCCCACGTGGGCCCACACTGCCTAAACATCACTAGCATCGATAAAGAAGAGACACCGAGGTGAGGCAGCAGAAGGCGAGGAGAGAGATGCAACACCCAATCTACTTTTGAAACATCCAGATACAACACTTGCAACATACGTATGAATACAGATGAAATGTTTGAAACACGCGTCTGAAACACTTGCAAAAACACACATCAAACACTTGAACACCATTGCAACACTTACGCAAGATCCAGATAAAATACTTACAACATATGTGTGAAACATATGCAACATCCAGACAAACACACTTGCAACATACGTTTGAAAAAACAAATGAAATATTGAGAACAAACGTTTGCAACATAAGTGTATCACCATTGCAACGTATGCAACATCCTAATCTCCTTTTGCAACATCCATACGAAACACTTGCAACATACCTCTGAAACAACTTAAACACTTGAAATATACACTTGCAACATGCGTTTTCAGCGTAATGTCACCTTGTTGCTTGGACGAATGGAGCTCGTCGTTGTGGAGCTCGACGCGGGCATAGAGCTTGATGCCACAGAGTTAAAGGAGGTCGCCTGTGCTCGTGATGGACCACCAGTGGAAGAAGGCCCTAACGCAGATGTTGTTGAGGCACGAGATGCGACGGTCGTCAAGGCAGCCCGTGAGGCGGTTGCTGAAGGCGATGAGGTAGCGCCCCGCTGGCTACACGATGCGGCAGCTAGAGCGGAGGTCAATGATGAAGTCCCCGGAGCCAGCATCGAGCGTGTAGGCACGCGCGTTGGCCAGGAGCAGGCCGCGCAGGAAGCCCTGTAGGCAGAGCTCGTCGCACACGGTGGTGGCGGGCGGTGGCGAGGTGAAGTCCGGGCGGGTGAGCGGGAGGAGGAGCGACACGGCGAGGAGGCGGTGCGTCATCGTGGGGTTTGGTTGCGCGGGCCAGAGATCGGGGGGAGGGCATGGAGGCCTAGAGGGCGGAGGGGAACATGAAAGACGTGTGGGGACCATAAAACAATCCAGAATGGAGGAGTCGGGCCATTGAAATGTCCAGACTAAGGCACGAGACGGATCGCTGCGGTTGACTGGCTACTGTCCAGGCCCTGCAAGCCAGCGTCCGGACGGACGGCGGACTCACCCAGCATTATCGATTAAGGCCCCGTTTAGATCCAAATTTTTTTGGATTTTGGCTACTGTAGCATTTTTCGTTTGTATGTGGTAATTAATGTCTAATTATGGACTAATTAGGTTTAAAAGTTTCGTCTCGCGATTTCTCACCCAACTGTGTAATTAGTTTTTTTTATCTATATTTAGTACTCCATGCATGTACCGCAAGATTCGATGTGACAGATACTGTGTAAAAATTTTTGAAATCTAAACGGGGACTAACAAAGTGCCACCGTAACAGGACGTGCGCAAGGTGAAACGCCATCACGCACGGCATGTTGCCGGGCCGAAGAAAGTGGAGGAAGTTAACGATGTGACGTTTCTTGACGCTGGCTTGGCTGCAAAGTGCAAACGAAACCGATCGAGACTCGAGAGGACAGGCAGCTGCTCTGGTTAAGGATGAAAACGGAAACGAAATATTCTGAACCGAACCGTATCGTTTTCTACATTTGACCTGAGCGAATTCGTATTTTTGGACAAAATACGGAATACTAAATTCGAATTTGAAATTCGGAACACCAAATTCGAAATCGGATCGAATTCGGTTTCGGCTTTGTTCGACCGATTTCTACTTTTCTACTTTTAATTCGGAATATCCCGAATTCGAAATTCGGTTTCGAAATTCGGTTTAAACCAAATTTGGCCCACTGCACGTCCAACCTTAGAAAAATTATATCTTTTTCATACGATCTCGGATGAAGATGATTTTTATATGAAAATTGTAGCTCTCAACGAGATCTACAACTTTCTAGTTCTTAGTTTTTTCATTTGATGTCTTGAAGATGTTCAAAAAAATTAAACAAAGTCAGCGATATATTAATCGCGTACAAGCGCTTGTTGCCTTAAAAAAATTATATCTTCCTTACGTCGTGTCGAATGGAGATACTTTTTAAGAAAGTTGTAGGACTTGTTAATTATTATGTACTTGTTAATTGTTATGCACTTGGTCATACATGTCAATATTCCGGATTGATTTTCCGTATACGGACCGTGTTCGATATAATTCTGCTCGAATTAGTTCGTTTTCGAAATTTTTGATATTCCGTAAGTTCGTGTTCGTTTTCGTGTTCGGCTTTACCGTTTTTGTTTTCGTTTTCGTATTTAAAATGTAGAAATAGAAAATGGTTGAGAGATTTTTCGATCGTTTCCGACCGTTTTTATCCTAGCTCTGGTGGTGGGGTACACGTACTACGTTCATGTTTGGCTTTAATTAGGAACACGTGCAGGGCAGGGTAATCATGTTCGACATGGCCCATGAGCCTACGGACACGGAGTCCATCCTTTCCGATTCCATAGACGACGCTACAGCAGCTCCGATGCCCGATGGTGAACGAACGTACCAGGGTCGGTCTTGTTCAGACTGAGGTTAGGAACTTTCGTTTGTATTTGATAATTATTGTCTAATTATGTTTTAATTAGGTTTAAAAGATTCGTCTCGTAATTTACAATCAAACCGTATAATTAGTTATTTTTTTATCTACATTTAATATTTTATGCATGTGTCCAAAAATTTAATGTGATAGAGAGAGTGAAAAAACTTACAATCTAAACAAGGCCATAGAGTTGTTGCTTTGTTCTAGACCAGCAGCTCATGTCGATAGCTTGGACTTGGACCTGGCCAGTAGAGCAGGTACGACTTGTACGTACATCGGTTTCATATCGTTCACTGATTTATTGTGAGAAAAAAATATTATTTTTTTTACTGTAAAGGTACCGTTGATAAGGCAAAAGAACAGGATCATTAAGGTCTTGTTTAGATTGGGATTAAGAATCAGTATTTGGCACTATAGCACTTTCGTTTGTATTTAACAATTATTGTCCAATCATGGTCTAACTAGGCTCAAAAGATTCGTCTCGTAATTTACAATCAAACTATGTAATTAGTTATTTTATTTATCTATATTTAATATTTCATACATGTGTCCAAAGATTTGATGTGATGGAAAGAGAGCGAAGAATCTAAACGAGGCCTAACATTAGTGTGTCCAAACTCCCAGGTCACAGCTGTAGTAGTTGATCGAAAACGTGGCTAAACTAATTGTTTACTCGCTCGAAGCCACGCGGTGTCAACGTGATTCTGAAGCTACCAGCTTGTTCGCTTGCTCGTAAACGATCGTAAATTTCCAGCCGAGAACAGTGTTTTTCTCTTACACCAAATCAGCCAACAATAAATAATCCACGATACGATACGGCCTCACGAACAGGCTGCTAGTGTCCAGTTCATCGCGGGGCTGCAGGCACTCAAACTGTACTACTCGCCAAGTCGCCAGTCCACGTTGTTGACATCGAGAGTATTACGGTAGTTAAAGAGTAAAGTACTGTAATACTACTGTACTACGGCTATACAGCTAGTCAGCTACGGTGTTCTTTGCTACTAGTATGTCCAATAGAGCCAATGACACGCGGGCCTAGCCACGCGCACTTATGGCGCCACTCGCCAAGTCCCCAACGACTCGTCGCCGTCGTCGAATCAGCAGCTACTTGTACAGCTGTGCTACAACCCCGCTCCGCAAAACACATAAAAAATTATTCCCACATGCTCTGCTCTGCTCTGCTCATCTCCTCCCTGACACCTTCTGCACAAGCGCCCACTGCACGGCCGTTCCTCGCCCAACTCCAACAACTGATTGCTCGGTCCAAGTTCACTGCTTTCGACTGGGATACTCGCTCGCTCCCAAATCTCAAAGAGACTTTTACCTGTGTCATTATAAAAGATCGTAATCCTTTCTGTGTCTCTGGAAAAATTCAGCGGTCTTCAGCGTCACTACTCTAACTTTTTCGGGTCCTCTATGCCACTTACGTCAGTTCAGGCTCTAACGCCGTCAAACAGCAGGTGTGAAAAGACGAAAATGCCCTTAAGTTCAAATATATTATTAATTTTTTTTGAGCATCTTAACGACTTCAAATGAAAAAACTCAAAACTAGAAAGTTGTAGATCTCGTCGAGATCTATAATTTTCATATAAAAATTATTTTCATTTAATTCCGCAAAAAAATATGATTTGATATGATTAATATATCTTAGAAAAATCATCATATTTTTTACGAAATTAAATGAAAATAAATTTATATGAAAATTATAGATCTCGACGAGATCTTATTTTCTATTTTGAGTTTTTTCATTGAAATCGTTAAGATGCTCAAAAAAAATTAAAACATATTGAACTTAAAGCATTTTCGCCTTTAAACTGCTTAACTAGAGCCTGAACTGACGATGCATGCGGGAACCAAAAAAGAATGACGACATCAAGATCCGCTGAATTTTTCAAAGCACATAAAAAATTACGATCTTTTATAAATAACATCTTTGAAAGTCTCAATCTCAAAACGAATGGAGACGGATAGGCTGGAATCCGTGGAGGGAACCGGCGCCGGCGGCGAGAATGGCGCGGCCACCAAGCTGCAGAAGGTCTACCGCAGCTACCGGACCCGCCGGAAGCTCGCCGACTCCGCCGTCGTCGTCGAGGAGCTCTGGTACCCGTACCCCTTTGATTTCCACCACCTTCATTTCTCTTAACTGCCTGTGATTTATTTACTGAGTATTTGCTTTGTTCCCCTTCTATTTGTCCGGGTCCGATTGGCATGGGCAAACAAAGGTTTTCCCCTTTTTGTTCTTCTTATTATCTTAAGAAAAAATAAATAAAAATTGCCCCTTTTGTTGTCACAACACACACCTTTGCTTCTTCTTCAATCTTTGATCCTGTCTGCACTGTACTGTACGCCTGCTCCGCGAGTTGGCTTCCTTCCAAGAAAATCCACGAAACGGTTACGGTGCCGAATTTTGTTCTTGTTCATGGTTACTGATGTTGACATCACTTCTACTAGCTGGGCCCTCTTCGTTTCGGGGAAAGAAAAAGCTTTGGATTGAGACTGATTTCGATCAATGGTGATGATGAAGGTGGCAAGCCCTGGACTTCGCGCGGCTCAGCCACAGCACCGTCTCCTTCTTCGACGAGCCCAAGCCGGAGACGGCCGCCTCGCGCTGGAACCGCGTCGGCCTCAACGCATCCAAGGTCTTCCCTAGTCCCTCCTACAGACCGATTCCTTTTCATGCGCGCATCAGGCTTCTCGTCACATCGATGTCGTCCGATGTTACGTTTTTCATGTCTGCTTTGCTTGCTTGCAACTTGCAACAGGTGGGTCAGGGTTTATCCAGAGACGGCAAGGCTCTCAAGCTGGCTTTCCAGCACTGGATCGAGGCTGTGAGTACATAATCCACTACTAGTATTGTTTGTCAGTTTGGCTTTACATTAGATGCTGTATTTTCAGGTGTATGAAAAAGAACCTGCTTTTCAGTATGTTGACTTCAGCTTTTTGTCATGTGTGAACATTGATCATAAAAAAGGTCCACTGATTGACGTCATGGGATTTCCTTCCCATCTCTTTGTAGAGTGATGAAGTTTTCTTTTTTTTGGGACCGGGCCATTACACGTTTTTCATTGAGCAAATAGAGTGATGATTTCCAAGACTCTTATTCATTGCAACTGTCATAACTATGTTCATATGTTGTTGCATTGTATAGATTGATCCACGGCATAGGTATGGGCATAACCTGCACTTTTACTATGATGTCTGGTGCCAAAGCCAGGCCGGACAGCCCTTCTTCTACTGGTGAGAACTTCACTATGATTTGCTTTGATACATTTGCAAATTCTGTTATTTGAGGTAGTGGAACCTACATAACAGATCTGAAATAGAAGTATATCTATTCATACCAGAATCTATGTTACAATTGGAAGGCCTGCTCAAAATAGAAATTTCAGTTATCAGTTTTGATTGCACGACTAAGTGAGCTGTGCGTTTGTAGGCTTGATGTTGGAGAGGGAAAGGATATAGACCTTCCAGAGTGTCCAAGAGCTTTGCTGAAAAAGCAATGCATAAGGTATCTTGGTCCGGTAAGACACCTTCACCATGGTTGTGTATCTTTATTTAGAACTTGTGATATATATCCTTGCTGTTACCTTCAAAAAGTATATATCCTTGCTGAATATGTCTGCAAAAGGATGTATGATGACTTGACTAACATCATCCACAAAATACTGTGCCAGTTTCATGAAGCTTTTGTTTTGTTATTAACTATCAATATCTTCTCTAAAAAAATGCTCACTACCTTTTACTGTAGAAATTTTCCTCAAGTTCGAATTTTAAGAAATATTTTGTCAAATAAAAGATGCATTGAATCTTCTTCTTATTAGTTTATCAAATTGCTGCATTTATGAACTTCATTTGACATAGCCTCAAATCAGAATTATTGTTCATCTAAAACTTGTACAGGATCCAGTCATGCCCTGGCCTGATATTGTTCACATTATTATTTCCTTTCCTCATGAATCTGAACAATTGATACAAATACAATTGACATCGCAATGTTATAGGTAGTTAAGAACAGGAAAATGGATTCATTTTAGCAAACTTCATTCTTTTTTACGGTTCAACGGAGGGGAAAGGATACTTCCCCAGCTCATTTTCATTGCATAGGAGTGGGTACCAAACAGTACCGCTCATAAAGAGTTAATACTGACCAAGGTTTCAAGGATGGTTTGTCAGAAAAATTACAGTGGGGAGAATTACAATTACATATTTAGAACTAGAGCTAAACACCAGGCGTCACTAACAATAAACTCATTTTCTGGGAGGCCCTAGTGCCAGAGGTGGGTCATTTCTCTTGCTACAGCAAGCAGGCTCGCCCTTGAATATGAGAAAGCAGTTCTAAGCTACTAAACCTACCACATTTCAAAGCTCTAACATCTGTTTGATGTTTTGCAGCAAGAGCGTGAGCACTATGAATACATCATTAATGAGGGAAAGATTATTCATAAACAGTCTGGAGAACCACTCGATACGAGCAGGGGTCCTAAAGGGACTAAATGGATTTTTGTTATGAGCACAGCAAAAAGACTTTATGCTGGCAAGGTAACTTTTTTACTCTACAGGGACCTTTGTCCCATTTTGTTTCTTCAGTGCTGCTAAATCAATTTCTACATATCCATCAGAAAGAGAGGTGTATTCCAGCACTCCAGCATTTTGGCAGGAGGTACAACCATAGCTGCAGGAAGATTTACTGCAGAGAACGGAGTTATCAAGGTATTTTGCTTTAGCAACCAGTGCCTGTTGGATTGTTAGTTTTGTTTATGCACAGTATTTTACTTTCCTAGTATTCGTGCTTGTTATATTCTTTAATCGTGCACCTTTGACTAAAAAGTTATGTTGTGTCTAGGATAGAGTTGATTATTCACTGTGAGTTGGTCGCCATACCATATCCATTTTTGCAGCTTCGTCCTGCCCGTGTCATGGACTACCATGAATAACCATTTTTGGCAATCCATTTATGAAGGGAAAATACGGAATATGAGCCAGAAAATTAAACTCCATGTATTATAACGGAACATATAGTTCCTGAATCTACTTCTGTCTAGTACACTTCAGATTATCTACTTAATACTTATCTTGGTTCGACCACTGTTCAAGTTAATGTCAACTCTAAACCGTGGATTATGCTGTGTCCTTCTATCAGCATATAGTAATATCATGTTTATACTTTTATTACATCTTGTTAGTGTACCTTTTCATTGGGTGAATTCTGCTAATCTATGTTTATCTGTTCTGATATATAGTCCATCTGGGCATATAGTGGTCACTACAAACCAACTGCAGAGAACCTCGGCAATTTCATGAACTTCCTTGAAGAAAATGGAGTTGACCTCAAGGACGTTGAGGTACACTTAACCATTCACAACCAGAACATAATATGCTTCTGTCACCAAATGGTAGATGGTTTCATTTACTGAACTTATTTTGGGGGTCAGGTGCGCTCATCTACCAAAGAAGACTACAATGAAGATCCAGTGCCTAATGACTCACAGAACTTTACTTCTGCTATCATACAACCAAATTTTCCACAAGTGGTTCTCCCTCTAAACACCACAGAAGGCGACGAGGGAGAGAACGCTCCTGCAGAAGAAGCCAAGCCAACCTACCAGAGAACCTTATCAGGAGGTCTGCAAAGCCCCAAAGCCACTGATGTCGCACGGAAGGCAATTTTTGAGAGGATGAAATCCAAGAGTGAGTCCAAGTCCTATCAGCTTGGGCACAGGCTGTCCCTTAAATGGAGCACTGGGGTTGGTCCAAGAATTGGATGTGTCAAGGACTACCCAATGGAGCTCAGGATGCAGGCTTTGGAGATGGTGGATCTGTCACCAAGAGCATCAACGCCATCAGCGTCAAGGAGACTACCTTCATGCTTGTCTCCCACTACAGCAACCTCACCAGCATCGCTGCTCGTGCCAATGCAGGCATCCCTGGCCCAGCCAAGTTAGAAGCTTCGGAGCTTTTATACACGCGATAGCACTTCTCCATTTTTCAGCACTGCGAAGTTCAGATACTTGGTTTGTGCTTGCTGCTTCCCTTTTGTCCTGTTGTTCAATCAGACATAGGACGCTGCAAAGTTTTCCAAGTGAGAGCTAGATGTGGACTATCACATTGCAAAATAGATTCTGTGCAGAACCTGTTATTATCTCATAGCCAGGACAGCTTAAAGCAGATATAATCTTTATTACCAATTTACCCTTTTTCTATAGTATACACAGCTGTAGACTGGTTTAAAAATCAGTTAAGTGGCCTACACAGGTAGCTAGATTTTTTACTATAACATTTAGATTTTCCTTACTTGAAAATATTCTTTGTTAATAGTCTTTTTTTTTGTTTTTATCTGTGAAAATCTGGTAATGTGTCTCTGTTTTGGGAAAGTTTCCTGTGGGCTGCCTATCCAAGCTACCATTATATATGGTAGGTGGGGAATGGTAGGAGAATTATTTTTTTTCTCGAATACGCAAAAGATTTGCGTATCATTGTAATTAAGAAGAAAAATATAACCATACAAACGACACGCTTCTAATGAGCGCTCTAGGTGGTCTTATAGCTGTGACTGTGACTGGATCTTCCTAGCATACTGTTTCAAACTTCGATATTACATAAATGGTACGCTTGAGAATGGTAGGAGAATTATATTTTCGAGAGGATAATTGGATTGGGTCTGCTAGTATAGCTGTCTTGTTTTGTGATGGGTATGTTGTTTTGGTTAATGAACAATCAGCCACTATTTCAAAACATTGGAATCTGAAATGAACTTTTAGGCGGAGTGCTGATAGTAGGCTGATGAGACTTTGGGAAGAGTTTATTCAAATTGCCTCTATAGGGAAGACTCCCATTTTCACAAAAGCGTGTCCCTGTGTTTCTTACTTTCTTTGGTTATTATTATTAATTATTATTATTATTATTATCCAAGAGCAAGCTGCTAATTAGAGAAAATAAGAAAGGTAGAAGACAGGGCTTGCTTATTCTCAAAAGTGCTCTCTGCCCTTGTGTTTTCTGAGTGCACAGTGGCCAAACAGATATTATCTGAATCTATCCATGGTATCAGCTTTGAGATGTTCGCTACCGCTTGTGGCTCTGTTAAAAAGGAAATATTTGTTTTCAGCAGGGAATTGGCAAAGTGTGCAGCATCTCGGCGATCCATCCATCCTCGCAGTGGTCAAGAGCTGGGGCCTTTTGTGCCCTGGAAGATCACTTGAGAAGTTCCAGGCTTGGCTGGAGAAGCCACAGGGGACGGTGGTGTCGCCGGAGCAAATCCTGGATGTAGATGGAGGATGGGTGCTGGTCTGTGGTGTGAGGTTCCTGGAGCCTGGAGGGCCAACAACCGGAGTTGATGCAAGCTGAGCATTGGGGCTATGCTTGAGCGTGGACGTGCACAGAGCCACGTTCTGTATATAGGGAAAATATATTCAGTAGCCAGCTATAAAAATAAGTTATTTTGTAGCCACCTTCATTTACGATATTTTTAGGTAGCCACCTTCATTTACGATATTTTTATATACTAATTTACGATAATGTCAATACATATTTACGATAGTTGGGTTACTATAACACATGGGGATATTTACCATAACGTTATAGTAAATCACCTAGTAAGGAGTTACTAGCTATAATCTTGTAAATTTACATAGTAATTATCGTAACTTAAAGTGGCTATAGAATAAGTTATTTTGTTCTGTAGCCACTTTGAGTTACGATAATTACTATGTGAATTTACGAGATTATAGTAACTCCTTACTAGGTGATTTACTATAACGTTATGGTAAATATCCCCATGTGTTATAGTAACCCAACTATCATAAATATGTATTGACATTATCGTAAATTAGTATATAAAATTATCGTAAATGGAGGTGGCTACAAAATAACTTATTTTGTAGCTGGCTACTGAATATACTCTCCTTATATATATATATATATATATATATATATATATATATATATATATATATATATATATATATATATATATATATATATATATATATATATATATATATATATCAGTTAAAGTTGAGAGAAACAAGCAGCGTTGCCAAGAAGTGGCACCTGGCCTTGAGCCACCGAACAGCACACAGACAGAAATGAGCAGAGGAAAACACTTCAAAGAACAACAGCACCACAGAAACAAGTAGAGCTAAAACAATTCTTTCTGGCAACATGCATGTTATCACAAGACACTCTTGTCCATAGCACCAATAACCACTCCACAAGGTGTGTTCCCTAAATCTATGTTTGTGGAGTGTTCCCTAAATCTATGTTAGATCCTCACTCGCTCGCTCATGCGAAATGACTACAACGCAACGAGCACCGGATAATATCTTTGGCCATTCTCCAGATGCAGAGCCTGAAATGAAAGTTGTATGTTAATCAAATCAGTCTTGGTGATTTGGTTGCATATGACAAGTGCACGTGTAAGCCTGATTACGGGAGCTCACCTGAACGTACTCAACGATGTGAGGAGGAAGTTGTGCCTCCTCCACGGCCGCCCATCCGTCAATGAAATGGACGTTAATCACCGTGTCTGCTTGATCTGCTGCCGCTGCCAGTACTTGAGGCTCGTTATGGTGGAGTGCGTGCTTTGGGTATGACCTCGAGCTATATGCCTTGAAGCAAATGTTGCAGAAACGGTCGAGGTGAACTACTGGTTCATTGAAGTGTTGTGCAAATTTGACGAGCTGCTGCACCATAGGGAAGCCATTTCCCTACTTATCTTCGGCCTGCGTGGAATGGAAGTGAAATTAGCATAACACTCAAAAATTATTTATATATATGCTTACATTACATTAGCTAGATCAAAAAATTAAATACAGCAGGGGATCACATGGTTGCATTATTATTAGATAGATGGACCATGTTAGCAGCATGCATGGGGATCAACACATATGTAGTAGGGAGGGGATCAGCATTGCATACATAGTGCAGCGACCGCGAGCGAGGACAGAAGAAGGGGATGGGATCATCAGCAAAGCATTGCATTGTTTATGCAATACAGAGCTACTGTACTCAAACAACAACTTATCGTATCGCTAGAATATAATGGACGGGCATTATATTAGTAGAGCAGCTGATATGATCTCATTCATAAAACTGACTTACCCTACAAGCGAACGAGCAATATGAGCTGCTTGAATCCATGAACTGCTCTCATAGTGTGTGCAGGGCTTGTGGAAACGCAGATCCTCCTGCTGTTGGCGTAGTATGAGGATCCACTTCTCTCCGTTCTTGCAGAATTGCTGGATTCCTGCAGTGTGATAGCCGCACCCGATTGTGTTCATGGACCGGACAGCTGGAGCATGGCGTACTGTATCCACCTGCGCACATGCATTATGTTCATTCCCACAAACATAAAAGAAATTAAATTAATGATCGAAACTAAACTTGCATTAAAAAAATTTAAATTAGCACCGATAAGAGAAGACGTATAATGCGATGATGATGGCTGGGGAGGCAAGAATGCAACCAGGCGATGCCGGCAAATCGATGGATGCAGGAAATTAGTGTATATATGTACCAGGGAACGAAGAATAAAGAATCCAGGCACGCATGGTTTTAAATAGGCCGCTATAGCTCCGCTATAGTTTCGCTATAGCTTTTCTGAGGGTCTACCGCTACACCGTTGCCACTAATGACAGAGGTAGTTTAAACATTGCTATTTAGTTTAACCGTTATATATTTTTAGTACCCTAATCCTAACCAAGGTAGATATCTATTCTTTAGTCTATTCAACTATAATCTATGTCTCTCCCTTTAAGTTTTTTACTTAATAAATGATGTAATAAATTATTAAATAATTATTGAATTGTTGATTTGAGTGTTGATCATAACAATATGTTGATCTGAATGTTAAATAATGCTTTGAATTTGACGTTCTGAACAGGTGATAGAGGGAGGAGAGGGCTCGATGGTGGATAGGGATGCTCTAGGGTTTTGAACAAGTGGAAATGAGTGGGCGGTGAGGTCCCTTGCCCTCGTGCTCCTGGTCACTTATAAAGGCAATGGCTACTTACAAGTGCCCTCTTGGTGGGGTTGAATTTCATATGACACTACACTAGCTGCTAGTCGGGCCTTTTCTAGGGGGAGATTTGGCCCATATACCTCATGGGCTCCCACAAGTGTTGGCGTGAGTGAGTCGTTATAGTCACTGAAGTGCTGGCAAAGCCCCTTGTGCTAAAGTGTTTGCTGGGAGCAATGTTGGGGGAGCTCATGAGGTATATGGGCCAAGTCTCCCCCTAGAAGAGGCCAAACTAGTAGCTGAGTAGTGTCATGTGAAATCCAACCCCACCAAGGGGTCACTTATAAATAGCCATTGACTATATAAGTGCCCAAAGACATAGGGGTAAGGGACCTCACCTCCCACTCATTTCCACTTGTTTAAAACTCTAGTGTGTCCCTTTTCCACCATCAAGCTCTCTCCTAAAACTCTCTCTTGTTCTTGTTCAGAATTGTCGGTTCCAACATAATATACTTGAAAACATATTCTCCTAGATATTTTACATGTATTTGAGTATTTGTGTTCATAAAATTTTCTAGTTAAAATGTTTATGTGCATAATTCATTAAGAATTTTTATGTTTTCTATAATACTGTAAAATGAGTAGCTTACGCTATAGCCCGCTATAGCTTTTTATAGCTTTTGGAGAAGGTCGCCGCTAAATATCATAGCCCGCTATTTAAAACATTGCTAGATAGTCTACTCGTCGTCGACGACCCCGATATGTACGCTATAGTAAAGCTTGCGATGCGATGGTAGGAATGACAAACGAATGATTTGAAGATGGAGGGTGCAAGAAGCAAGCTGGCCAGCCGTGGTAGAAAAAAAAACCAAGAAAATACGCCCACCGCGCTGGAAATCATCCGATCTAGGCCAGCACCAAGAATGAACGCAAGCAAGAACCTACAACAACGCTAGCTGCTTAGCTTTCAATTTACCATGATGAACAAACGAGCACAAGACGCAAGAAGAACAAGTGTGGTGGCCGGCGACGCGGCGAAAGAAAACCATGCCAACATGTAAGGCCCGATGCAAAGATTACAGCCAAGAAGCAAGCTAAGGAATGGAAGGAAAACATACCTTGGCAGGCGATGGTCCGTTGTTGCCTCCATGGTAGAGCTGGCGGTGGTTCCTGGGGCTCAAGCAACAATGCGCGCACATCGGCGCGGCACAGTGGAAGCAGAACATGGTCCAACAGCTCTGGTGGAAATCTATCTACACAAGGCGGTGGAGCGCTCCCTCCGCCACCATGGCTACCGCTTGCTGGTGGATTGCCTGAGGAGTCGATGGACGAAGACACACGCCTTGCTAGCCCTCCTAGCCAGACTCTCTCCCTCCCTCGCCGTGGCGCCCTCGATGATCGATGGCCAGGAATGGAGGCTGTCTCACCGATTCGATTCGCTGACATGCACCGACCGATGAGACGACAGGTATGTATGTTATGAAGTCGTTAGCTAGTTTTATCATACGGTATGTAGCAGCCGAGCCACGCACCGCCTTAAGCAAGGCTTCCACCCGGGGGTGGGACCAAGAAAAATGAACTCGTGCTGCACATGTAACTAACTCTACTGCCGCTGTATCTTGCTGCATTCCTGTCTTCCAATGTACCATACCCCCAGCACGCGCTGCTGATTGCATGCATGGCCCTTTTACTGACAACTAACTGTTATGTTCATTAGTACTATGGGTGTGTTTGGTTGGGTGCCCATACCTTAGCCTGGCTCCATGAAGCCAAGTGAAAGGTCCTTGTTTGGTTTTGGTAATTGAGTGACAACCTAGGTGGACTAATTGTGTTTAATGTGAGATACATAGATGATTAGTCCACAGGTACATCATGTGTGAGCAACCTTTGCCATGGAGGTGAAATGGCTTGGAGATGTTGCAAAGCTCACACATGTGATGAAGGAGCTCATTGCATATGAGACATGACATGGAGTCATGTGATCAAGGTGGAGAAGATCAAGACAAGACTTGGCTCGATGGACCGGTTGCAAGTGTGAAGGGCAAGTTGAGTGATGACTTGGCGCCGATGGACCGAAGCAATGGTGAAGAGCAAGTGAAGTCAAGATCGATGAACCAATACCGTCACGTGATGATATGAAGTGGATCATATCATTTGGTGATTGGTTGGTGCATGTGTTGCATCAATAATAGAGGAGATGGAATGGAATGCGCAAGGCAAAGGTATAACCTAGGGCATTTCATTTCATCGGTCATAGATGTGTAGAGAAGTTGATGACCGGGTTTAGGATAGATTGCCGTACTATTAAGAGGAGCAAACTTGTTTGCATATCGGTCATCTAGTGCCACTTGAGCGATCTAACTTTGCATACGTGTTAGGATCGAGTGGC